CCCATCCTGGGTTTATATCCAAAGGAAATTAAATCAATATGCTGAAGATTCAAGCACTCTCCAATCTACTGTATATATTAACAACCGAAAAAAAAAAAAAAAAAAAAAGGAAACAACTAAATGTTCATCAGCTGATAAATGGATAAAGAAAATGCAGAACATACACCGAATGGAATACTATTCGGCCAAAAAAGTATGAAATTCTATCATTTGCAACAATACAGATGAACTGGAGATCACTATGTTAAGTAAATGAGCCAGCAAAGAAAGACAAATACTGCATGAGGAATCACTCAAATTTGTAATCTAAAAAGGGTGGAAACTGTGGTGGTTATGCTTAATTTTTTGTCAACTTGATTGGTTTGGGAGCTGCTAAGGGGATAGTAAAGCACACTTCTGGGTATGTCTGGGTGGGTCATGGAGGCATGAGCTTGGGTATGGGCTTTCTTCCCTTCCTCTCTGATGCTGTCCCCTGCCCTTTTTCCCAGATCCATGAACTAAGCATCTATTCCATGTCCTGATATGATGTTCCTGCCATGATGTTCCTGCCTTGTAGTCAGCTGAGCATGGACTAAATCCTCTCAAACTCTGAGCCAAATTAAGCCTCTCCTCCTTTAAGTTGGTTACTGTGTCTCAGGAATGGGAAAGCTGACTAATTGGTACTGAGGATGGGGTCACTGCTATAACTACACCTGCCTGTGCGGTTCAGAAGCCTTTAGAACTGGGTTGCAGGAGAAATTCCAAAAGGTTTAGAGATGTGGGCAATAATGTGGACAATAAAAGCCAGGCTCAGGGGGTTTTAGTCAAGAAGGACTTTGTGGGTAATTGGACTAAAGGCCATAACAATAACAACCCCTCCCATTACATCTTGCCCATTTCCTGAGTTATTACAGGAGAGAGATGAAGGCTAGTGGAATAACTAGTCTGGAGGAAGAACTTTCAAGGCAGTCCGATATTCAGGCTATGGCATGGGTACTACTGGCTGCTGTTAGATTTATAGTGAGAATCAGGTGCAAAAGGCAGAGCAGAAAATTTGAAAAGTTAAATTTTGGCCAAAAAGCAGGTATGTGTAAAGTTGGGGCCACAGGCGGTATGGCTGCTGAGACTAGTGCCATTAAAAATAAACCAAGTACTTTGTATATGGACAAGAAGAAAGATGTCTTCAGGGCATCTCAGAAATCAGCAAGATCTCACCCACCACAGGCTCAAAGGTACAAAAGTGTCAATCTTTCACTTGAGAAGAGTCTTTGGGATATCTGTTTGAGAAGGCCTCCTCGGGAATTGCTTCACCAGGATTCATTTTACCGTGCTCAGCTCAGCAGCTCAAGGGGACCTGGCTACTGCTTCCACTGACAACAGACCTTGCTACTGTTCTTGTGATGCTGGTTTACCAGCATACAGAATGCAAGAGTTGTGACAGTGATTCTTATATCCAGACTTCAAAGGATGGGCTGGGAGGGAAGGCAAGTGGAAATAAAGTTGAATGTGCAGTAGAAGCCACATGAAGTCAGAGATGCCAGAAATCTGGAATGTCTGCTGAGGAAAGCTGAAGACCATGAGCTGAGCCTGAGAGGCTGTAAGGCTGCCCAAGCCCTCTGGAACTCACATGTCACTGCCATGTGGCCCTGATGCTGGATACAGAGCACAGGATTTAATGTCTGTCCTGTTAGGTTTTGGTCTTGCTTTGATCCAACTTTTTCTATCCCTCATTCCTCCCTTTTGGTAGGGGAATGTCTATCCCATGCCATTGTACCTTGGGATTATATAACTTGTTTTTGATTTTTACAGAGGTTCACAGTTAAGAGTATCTTCAGTCTAAAGAGATTTTGACTTTTGAAAAATGCTGGAATAGTTGAGACTTCAGGAAGGTATTTGTAACATTCTGTTGTACACAGGACAGTTCTAACATGTTAGGTGGAATTATTAACTTGTTATTGTGTTTATTTGGAGATTGAATATAGTTTAAAGAGATGAGTTTGAGTGGAATGTGTTGGCTAAGCTTAACTGTGTCAACTTGGCTGGATCTGGGAACTGCTGAAGGGATTAGCAAAGCACACATCTGGATGTGACTGGATGGGTGACAGAGGTGTGATCTTGGGTATTACATCTGTCCCTTCGCCTCTTCCTCTCTGGAGTTGTTCTTCAGCTCTGCTTCCTGGCTGCCATGAGCAGAACATCTTTGCCCTTCCATGCCATTCCACTATATTTCTGCCTTGGAGCCAGCTGACTATGAATTGGATCCTCTGAAACTGCGGGCCAAATTAAAGCTCTTTTCCTTTATGTTGTTGGGTGTTGTGTCTCAAGGTCAGGGAAACTGACTAGTACAGTGTCATAAAATTTTGAGTAGGATGCCAGTCACAAAAAGCTGGGGACAGTAAGACAGAGAAAGGGACAGGGCAATGCTGATCAATGGGTATTAAGTTACAGTCAGAAGCAAGAAGTTTTGATGTGCTATTACATGGAAGAGTGACTACAGATAGCAATGATGTATTACATATTTCAAAAAGTTACAGAAAAGTGTATCAAAAGTTTTCACCATAAAGAAATCATAAATGCCTGAGGTATACCTAACCTGATCCAAACATTACACAATGTATTAATCTATCAAAAGTATTACAGTACTTCATCATTATGTACAGTTTTTATGCTTTTATCAGTTTAAAAATTTTAAATAAAATAAAATTAGGCAGAAGATAGTAAGTGTATAATGACTCACTGAAAAATGAAGTATACCAAATTGAAGCTAATTTTCCTTAGGTTTCTTATCAGTCAAGATCAAAAAGACAGTATATGACAAAAGAAGTGACAAATTCACTTGTAACTATAAGGAATTAATAAGGGATGCTTGCATATTGATGACCCTGAAGCTGCCTGTAACTGTGGTTTTACTAACAATGCAGAAACACTAAAGCAATGGTTCTCAAGTTGGGACAAGTCTTTCATATAATTATTTTGTAATACATTTGTAAAAAAATTAATGAAAATATTCATTTTTATGGGCACATTAGGCCAGATAGGCCAGGCTCCAGAGTTCAGTCACATGGACCCCTCTTTGAGCTCCAGTCTCCATTCTTTCATTCAGTAAACTAACACTTAAAACAATGCTACCAAATGGTAAATGCTGCCTTATGCAAATAGGCTTGTGGCAAGAAACAGAAGTACATAAGCACAGACATATAAAGTGTTCTAAGTGCTACAAAAATGAAAAAATGAGTGACTCTGAAGCAAATGAACAGAGAGGGGTGTGTGTGTTTGTGTGTGTGTATGCATGCATGCACACCTGTGTGGCTTGAGAGGCAGAGGGATCTTGACAGGCAGTATGAGTGCTCATGTGAGCAAAGATATACTAGGATACTGAATTCTTCTGGGTTGTAAGATTTTCTTCACATGTAGCAAGGACCTTGAACTGCTCACAGGTTGAGGAAGGCTTCTCTTTGGAGGCAATGTATGTATGGGACCAGCATAAATTAAGTACAGGATGAGAGGAGGAACAGTGTTCTAGGCAAAGGAACTGGCATGACAAAGGCTCTGAAATGAGAGGAAACTGGTGTGCAAGGCCAGTGAGGTAACATGTTGACCACGTGGGGGAAAGCAGTACAAAATGAGCCTAAAAAAGTAGTTTAGAATTCACAAATTCATAAAAAGGATTTAAGTCATTACGTTTATTATGTCTTCAATACATTATATTTATTAAAGGGGGTGTGACATAATCAAATTGACATTTAAAAAAAGATTACTCTGGCCAGTGTTAAAATAGGAAAAGAGAAAAAGTAAATGTGGGACCTAAATTAAAAATCAAACTTAATAGCTAATTCAAAGGTAGCAGGGTGGGCATGGTGGCACATGCCTGTAATCCCAGCGCTAGGGAGGCTGAGACAGGAGGATTGCCAGGACTTTGAGCCCAGCCTGGGCTACATAGTGAGTTCAAGGACAGCCTGAACTACATAGTGAGTTCCTGTATCAAAAAAAAAAAAAAATGGCGGCAGATATTCCAACTGGTATGACCAGCTCCCTGGACCACACTAATGCTTGTGTGGATCTTCAACGGCCTATCCCCTCACAGCCACCTGTAGTACCATGCATCCAGGATGAGTGCACCAAATTTGTAGATCTGTTTGTGGGTAGTCAAGGATATTCCCAATTCACAGCCTCTATGTCCTTAAAATTAGCTATGAAGCAAGATCAGCAGAAATTTGGAGTTTAGGGTGGGTGGGTTATGAGGAGTTACAGACCTGATGAGGCAGGGTAAGCAATGTGAGGTTATGAACACAAACTCATAAGGACAGGTGGCCACAGAGCTGAACACAGTAAGAAGATAGCAGGCCTCACATGGTCATCAATAAATAAAACCGTAATGGCAGATAAGCAACTATTGATACCTTTAAGTCTCCTTTGAATGAAAGTCTCACTCCTTTTGGCTGGGATGAATGAATATTTTTTAAATAATAAACTGAAGAATTCATATTATTTTAGGCACATAACTTCCAGGCAGTTATGTGTTCCAAGACAGTCAGTATTATTTCCAAAAGAATTCTATTTACATGAGCAGATAGTTTACTTACACAAATATGATGTCCCCTCTTTTAGAGTAAGCAGGAATTGCACTGGCTATGGTAGAAAAGCCATATGAGTATATAATGGCTTCTTCAGTTTTCATAAATTTTGCTAGGTGCTCTTCCAAATCCAAATGAACATCTATTTCAATAAAAAAATCAAATAGTTAAACCATATTATAATTCTTGTTATATGACTAAAGAATAAAGAAAGGAATGTGACAGTTTAATTATTAACACGTTCACCTGATAGCTAAAATGTAATTGTTCTAAAATAATAAACTATAAAATATCTACAGTATTAAAGCAATTCTCAACCAGAAGCACTTCTGAACTAGATGAACTGAAATCTACCTGTCTGTCCATTCGGCACTTACATTCCTCTACTGTAAATTCTCCAGACCCACTGTCTTCACTTGCTTTAATTTTCCTTGACTGAAAACACTGAAGCTTTAACAGTGTCCCACATCAACTCAGTAACAGCTTTGTGCATTTTCAAGAGTGTGGTATGCTGTGTTAAGATAGTGACACATACAAGAATGCCAGTGACCTTTCCTCTAGCAATTTGTGTTGGCAGTTAGTTGTAGCACCTGCCATTCCTGTGTAGAACAGGGCTTCTATCTGAATGTCTTACAAGTATATTGGGGAATTCAAACTTATAGCACAAAAAGAGACAAGAGTCCTTTTATAGAAGCAGCTTAAGAACCTTTATGTAATAAAAGGGATAAATTATAATTGTTAAACTGGCATGTCCTCCCTCTTAAATCATGATTCCTTATACCTCCTAGGATGACCCATGGGGGTCTATGCTTTGGGATGGAAGGACAAGCAATGATTAGAGTGAATAGGCCACCCAGTGGCTTTGAACCTTAGAATTTCAAGTAGTTTAACTTGTTCTACAGACTTGAACCATTAGTAGTACATGCATGACTGTGCCACTGGGCAGCTTGTACTACTGGTGATATAAACAGATCTAATCACTTTTATTAGTCTTTTTACTAATAAAATTAACAAAAAGCCACCCAATAGGACAGTCATGTACATACCATCAGTGGTTCAAGCTGCTGGGCAGTGAGACATATGAATTACAGCCTCACTGTGAATGTGTTAAAATGAGACATTATGGAGGAGAGAAATGGACTTTTAAATATTCCTTTAGCTCTTTTAACTGCAGTAGGACCCATGCCTAGAGGGCTACACCACAGAGTGCACTGTGCTCTGTGTAAGGGATACTTCCCATATAGAAAGAAGAAGGCCAGGTCTTGCTATCCCTAGAGCTCTAAGGGAGAAAGGAGGGGAACAGAGGTCATGGAGGCAGATTTTGAAACAGTGAAAGAGGGAGTAGTGTTATATCTACTGGAGGGAATGTTCACGTGTATGTGATGGCCACCCCCTCCCACCATGGTTTCTGTCTTTGAGCCAGCCAGGACCGAACCTGAGAAACCAAGAGTTAAACTGAATTTTCCTTTAACTAGTGGGCATGTATATGTCTTAGCAATGAAAAAGCTGACCAATACAAGTGGTAAAATATATAACACTGTTTCTCCCAATTTACTAGTTGCAATGTATATAAAACACAGCCTATGAACATACACACAGCATATGAAAAATGATTTAATTTCCATTACCAATCGGCAACAGTCATTCTACTGACTAGACACTTTACATTAGGTCAATATTAAATAAATGTGGGATTTTACACTAGCAAGTTTAGAATGCACTGCAATTGCCTGCAAGCACTGAAACTGACATTCCCAATACACAAAGCCAAGGCCTTTAAGGAAAGAAAGATATTATCAGTGAAAGGTTTTAGGTACCTCACCAGAAAACAGAAAGCTGCCAGTGATACTGGTTAATCTCTGACATGTCTCGTGTCTCCTCTGGGCAACACTGCCCTGTCACCTCTTACTTCCCCACCAGGTAGGTCCCGGCTAGAGGGCCTCCTTCAAACTATTACAACACTGCCTGTGAGTAGGAGCACCTACCACAAACACTCATCTATCAGCCAGCAGGTGGACAACCCAGCAATGGCAAATTGCTTTCATCTGAGATCTCCTTTTTAAAAGGGAAAGCATGCCATGGATACAGACACTATTTTTACTAATGACAAAAGGGATTTTAAATCACTCTCTAGACTTCTTACCTTGTAATGACTTTTTATGGATGAGTGATGAGGCTAAAAACTGAACATGGATTTATTTTCCAGAGTGAGTTACTGTGCTGATGTTCACAATATTCCTATTATCATCATAAATATAAATTGCCATATGCCCACCTCCAGCCCAGGCTCCTAGGGCAGAGAAGCTCAGCCAGTCCCAGCACCCAGAAGGAAGCTCCCCCGCTGCCATCCCCGGCTCCTAGGGCAGAGAAGGTGAGCCAGTCCCTGTACCTGGAAGGAAGCTCCCCGCCTCCATCCCAGGCTCCTAGAGTAGAGAAGCTGAGCCAGTCCCAGAACCCAGAAGGCTCCCCACCATGGAAATTAGAAGACACATAAACAAGCCTCAAAAACAGACTTTCAGATCACCTACAGCAACCCCAAAGTAAAAAGAGATGGAACAAACTGATACTCAACCACCTGGACTCTCTGAACTGGCAACAAAAGAGGATCTGGGAAAAATGAAATCAGAAATAATTACTCAGATAACAGCAAAGATTTTGCT